GCCATTATCATAAACCTGGGATGTGAAAATGAATGCATTAAACTCGACAGCCAGTGTCTACATGCAAGTCTCCTGTCATGAAATTAAAAAGGAAGTTCTTCTTGTATTACACTTGTTAAGAAGGCAGATAGGTAGTTTCTATCTTGTAATAAGTCCAGATTGCATTAGATCATATGAAAATCAGCAATACTTTACTGAAGGTGATCTGTAAAAAGCTTTAAGCAAGCATAGAATTGTTCCTATTTATGTGTGCATGGTTGTCCTGTGTGTCTCTGTGTTGCCTTTTGATGGATTGGTAACCTAACCCAGATACACCTAGATTGTCTTTTGCCCAATGATATTCCTTTGTTATTCCTTTGCTAAACAATTTATTCTAAAGTACACTTCTCAAATATAAAAAGTTTTATTTTAGCAAAAGTGTAGGTATCTGCTTCTGCATAAACTCCACCAAAAAAAGCCGAACACAGTTTAAGCATTGGAAGAAGATGGAAGGTATCGCTTTCACACTTTTTCACCGCTGTTCAGACTGAGCGCGTTATGTAAGCGAGTCCTGTGAAGTCCACTTACAATGCCACGTTTGATGTGACCAGCAATCCAACTCACAAACACCCTCAAATAAAGAAAGTGACTTCAACCTTTGAAAATTACTATTGAGGTAAGCAACACAGCATGGAGGATGCTCAGATTAATAGTCACAAATGAAAGTTTCATTCTGGGGAATAGAATGCAAATGGAGAGCTGGAAGCAGAAAACCTGTGGTCATTTTATATATTTACTTTTTACCCTCATGAGGGTGGTGGGGGACCACTGCTGGGGGTGGCAATGTCTCCATGGAAACTGACATTCTCTTGAAGGCAGCCATCGCCAATTGTTAAACTTGCAATGGTTTGAAATTCTCAGAAAAGTGGCCAAGTGGCTGCAATGAAATCCTGTCTATTTGAGGTGGACTCAAGCAGGGAATAATCACATCGAGTTTAATGACCTTCTGACAGAGAAGAAAGACCGTATAATCTGTTGCTGACATAATCATACCATTTTGTTTTTTTTCTTATTATTTTGCTTGCTTTTATGGTTAATCATAAGTATTAAAGAATGATAGACTCTTTTTTAATACAAACCGAAAATGTTCTTTCCATAATTGAAGTGGATTTGAAATGAAATGCACTTTTTGTTATATTATCCTTTGTATACAATTCTCTGAAAGAAACTGTCTGGTAAATCTGGGTAAATCTGTTTACCCAGATTTATTTTCTATAGGGAATATAGATGAACGTAAGGTGTTTTTTTTTTTTTTCAGGTGTTGTTTTCAGTTAGCTGAGTGTTTCAAAAGCTTGGCACCTTTTGAAAGAGGATACTTTATTATTTGAAGGATGTTGTTGGCCTCTTCAAATATGTTGGGGTATCTTATAAGCCAGCGGGGGCTGGGCATCTTTATGATGAGTTTCACAAAATAAACTATTACTGAAGTACAAAATTGGAATAATTCAGAGCAGCAATAATTTTGTCTGTGTGACGGTAAAACTGGTTAAAACATCATAGGCCACATTTCCTTTCCACAGCTGCTTAAGAATAATTGAAATGTTTGAGTCTTTGTGTGCAGAACACTTTTGCCTCATGTAGCAGGTAGCATGAAGACCTGCCCTTGTGAGCGACGGCAGCTGAGAGGGATCAGACTTGCAAAGTGTCAGCCTCACACCTTAGTCTGCTACACCAGCCCAAGCAGAAAATAGAGATTAACACTGTGTGCTTGTTTCCATTTCACTGCTTTTTTAGTTCATCTTGTCACACATGCAGTAAGTGCAAATGAAGTTATTCTTCTGAATAATTCCAGCATCACATATTTTCCAATTTTGGCAACATATATGCAGTGTGTATACTTCACATTGCAACTACAGACTTCAATGTATAATGTTCAAATTTATGTGACAGACCTACACAGAGCCTAATCCTGGAAGGGGTAGAAGGGAAAGGACTTTTTTCTTTTTTCAAAACAAATACAAACCTGAAGAAAAAAAATTATGTTCAGCTCACTTTAATCGGTACTTTGCAGAAGCAATTTTTCTGTAATAAAACGTATTTAGACTATGTCTCTGCCAGCTTTGGACATCTACAGCTCGCTCTTCTTTCTATCTTTCTTGAGGGGAGATTTGACTGTCTAATGACCTTTATTGACATTCAATTCAATGTGAGGAATTGTCAGTTAGAAATGCAAAGCTCTTTTAATATGCCACAGAAGCTGCTGTTGTTACCAGGCCTCCTGTTCCCTGGGTGGCCACTCTCTGTTCAGTCTGAGAATCAAAGGTTTTGCTCCTGTTTTTAAAAATCGCTGAATGGAGTCACAGTGATGGACAATGAAGCAGTGTTTTGAAAAAAGAGGATGTATTGTTAAAGTTTTGAGAATCTTTTTTTTTTATTTGTTCTCTCTTCATTTTCCTGCTCTAAGAAAATACATTTTAAACAATACTATTTTCAGCTTCCTGAAAATAGTATTGTGATGAAAAGATTTTCATCACAATGCTATTGAAAGACTGTTCCTGTTGAAAGACTTTTAAAACCGATTACAGCTTTGCAAAGCAGGTTCTGTTGAAGCACCTCAAACAGTTACTGCCACTTACAAAAATGTCACTTATAAATTCTGCACTGGACCCACTATGCAGAACTGCTAATCAGTCAGAAGATGGAGCAGGTTTCTGTTTGCACTTGTAAAACCCAGATAGACAAGAGCTGTGTCATTTAAAAGAAGCAAGCCAGTTTTAACCTGTGCAGCTTCCAGCTAAAACTGAGGCCATAGAAAACCGGAAATCTTCCACTGGGGAAAACAAGCTTTGCTGGAAGGCACAATTTAGTATTGGGGATACCTTTTGGTGCCAAATTCTTTTGCATTGTGCTTTGTGCTTCAAAGGGAAGACGAAAACGTCATTAAAAATATTTTCAATTCAAACGAGAATTGACATTTTTATGCTGTTAATATGCAGCATATTTCTAAAACTACTGCGTCTTCACGTCAGACCATCTGTATCTTTTTAAAACTCTTTCAGACAGAACTTAGATCTATTGTATGCCGCTTCCATGTGTGTGCATTCAGCTTTGAATAGATGCGAGACAGGTTGATCGCTGCCAACTGCCTGACGACAGCAGTAAAAGTTGATATTGGCAGCTTGTCACATGCAAGTCAGTGCAGTCACATTCAGCTGCCATCTGTTTTTATTTTGCCTAGCAGACATGGAACAAAAAAATGTTAATTTGGGCACACGTGCAGTTCAAGGTGGCGGAGAACCTTACGATGCAAAGTTTAATACTGCATTTTCCTTCGACTGTTAGCTAGCGAACACGTGACACATTTTTTAGCACATGTAGTTAATGACTTTTTATTTTGTTTGTTTTACATGCAACCATGCACAATAATTACTTTATGCCCCCTGCTAGGGAAGAGTTTAATTAACCATCCTCTTTCAGGGCAGATAATTAGTCAATAGCACACATGTGCACAAAGACACTCTCATTATCACTTATGCAATAAGTCAATATGTAACTCTAAGAATTACATATATACTTAGTCTTACTATATAAAAAGCAAATTGTATGTTTTTAGTGTCACAGCTCAATAGAAAATTGAGATGGGCTGCAAATGAGTGTCAAATTGAAAATGTGGATTTACAGACAAAATCTTTCATTTAGATTATAAATACTTAGTTCTATTTATAAACAATGTATACATACTCATAAGCTTTTATTTCCCTCAACTATCTTCAAAGTTTTACCAGCAGGTTTACCAAAAATATTTATTTGTTAAAGGCCAGCATAATGAGGACTTATTTAAACTTTATTCAGATTTAGACATTTTTACACATGTTCTCAGTTTTTGGTTTAATTTCCTTTAAAACTGTGTGACTTGGGTCAAAAATTTTGGGTATCCTTCCACTACCTTTATTCTCAATAGCTTGCTGGAATTTTGGCCCATTCCTCCTGTCAAACTTTGCACAATGGAGTCATTTGGTAAGCTGACTTACTTGCACCTTTTGAGCTCTCCGTTTGGAAGAAAAGTTTGTGCCCAACTTTTAACTTCCTGGCTGATCTCTTGAGATGTTGCTTGAGAACTTTCACAAAACATTTTCACAATGATGCCATCCAATATGTGAAATGCCCCAAACCCTCCTGAAGCAAAAACACCCACATGATGCTGCTCCAACTGTACTTCACAGACTTGCAAGATTCCCCTCTTTTTCTCCAAAATGTAGTGATTCTTATGTCAAAACACTGCAGTTTTAGTTTCATCAGACCACTGGACAGATCATCATTACTCGGTGCATTTGGAAACTGCAATGTAGATTTGAGTAACTTATTAGTTTTCACCGAAATGTCTTTCAGTCTGTCTTTGCAGGACTTCCTTTGCTCTGGATACTCTTATCATCCTCAGATGGCATTGTAAAAAAAAAAAAAAAATATGAATTTTAGATATTTGGTTTGGACCAAATTACATTACTCTCAGGATCACTCAGCATGTCTTTCTGCACACTATATCTGGATATTTCCATGGTTTTATTGCATAGACTTGCTTGAAAAGAAGAATGTTGCACCTCGAGACATTCACAAATGGTAGCCAAGAATAAATCTGCCATCTGGACAGTTCTTTTCCTTATGTATTGGTTGACTTCCTTTTGTTTTTACGATCTCACTAAATAAGTGCTGTGTTTGAGTCATTGCCTTAAAATATATCCAAAGACGTTTCAGCTTTAACTCAGATTTTGTGAAATAGAAGCTCATAAAACTGATATGTCATTATCTGGTCTTTTCAGTGTAGTTAAAATCTATTTGTGTATGTTAACTTCTGAAGTTGAAGAAAAAAAAAATCTCAAAACTACAAACTTAATTTAACAGAAATTATTTTGGTAATCCTAAATTGACATAAAGGCTGATTTAAACGTATGTAGTGAGTTGCTTTGCATGCAATGTGAGTAAATATATGAACAATAATTTAATGGATTTTTTATTATTTACAGGTTCACGGTTTGATCTGCACACAGGAAAAGGTAAAACATTCTAATCTATAATTTGGGTTCTGTTTTTTTGCTCCACTCTACCAAATTGTACTTTTGCCATTTTGGTAATCAAAATAGAGTGAAATAAGGTGAAAAGATTTTCTTAGAGACATTTTATATAAATTTGACAATTTGTGCTCTCCTTTAGAGCTTTTCATACATATTTTGACAACTGATCATGTTAAATAATTTTCTAATCTAATTAACTAATCAAAGTCACATACTGGGAAGAGAGGTGATGATACTCCAACGCTGTAAATAATAAATATCAATAGGAAGTTACTTAGGAATATCATAGATTGATCTGCATTCTAATGTTTCATACTCCTTATGTCAACTCTAATACCCAAATGGGGTATCAGTATTAAATATGCACAACATAATACAAAGCTAATTTAAGTCAATCAAATCAAATCAAATTTTATTTGTATAGCACATTGCAAGGCATCTCAAAGTGCTTTATATCATAAAAACACAAAAACCCAAAGTCACACAACATAGAATCAACAATCAAAACATTACATTAAGTCAAGTGCCATTGTTAAATTCTTAATTGATCATGTTTCAAAAACAACTCCAACCATGTGGGTTTTTAGTTTAGATTTGAAGGCATTTTGCATTTGAGACTATTTCCACTTTTCACACACACACACACACACACACACACACACACACACACACACACACACACACACACACACACACACACACACACACACACACACACACACACACACACACACACACTAAAAAAGCTATGATAAGCAGCAGTGGTTTAGCATGTGGACCCAGCCTATTTACAAGTGCAAATTGGAAATAGACTGGGTCAAAACAATAGGAACGGAGTACAACGTAGGGACACTTATTAGCTAAGGGGTGAATTAATTGTTCTTTTCATGCGATTTCTGTATGTGGTTGGTTTTTCTTTTCTGTTCACCGCATAGAAACTAAATGATTTTCAGACTTTTGTCAGTATCTGGAGTTATTAAGAAGATTTGTGTGTTTCATTATTTTCACCATATTCTCAATTACACTTGAGTAAATGTTTACATATTGGGCTTGTTTTGCCAGTCACAGAAAACAGAAATAGCGGACAAGTGTCATGTAGTGATACCTGCTACAATCACACATAAGCTCAGTCTGAAACAAAGCCACACATGCAATAAATTAGTTTCTTCACTTGCAATTTAAATATATATATTTTGGAATAACGTGGTCCAAAGTTTCCTAGCAGTGTAGTTAAATATCTGAAACTAGTGACTCAATGGATTAATTTCCCTAGGTGATTTTGTTGAACATACAAGTATCTTGGGACGTCGTTATTGTATCTGTTCTGAGATTTCTCATGTTGTTTATGGCAGGACTTGTATCTGTTGTGGGCTTTACTGTCCAGGCAGCGTTTGATCATTATGGTACTGGTGGGACAGCGCTTCTTTTAGGTCTGTTTCTGGCAGCTGGAGTCTGTCGCGCTACACGTCTGTGGGCTTCCCTGTGTAGATTTAGTCCTGAATAATCCCCTCCATCTGCTGCCCCCTTCACCAGGTTTTACTTCTCAGCATCTCTTTCGTTCTCTACAATTTTGTTTCCGGATGAATTTCTGGGATTTTTGAAAGTCCTGTGATTTTTAATGTGACGATTCTCTTCGTAAACCATTTACTCTTTCAGTCCCTGCTGTGCTCCTGGTCGGTCCTCCTCTCAATCCTAATCTCACTGCTTCTTCTCTCCCATGGGTTTTTAATTTTCTCTGTCGTTCTCTCTCATTCCTTTTATTTTTCCATGATCTGTTCCTGATTATTCCTTTTGGTGTTTCGATTTCATCCAACTAAATCTCTTGATGTCCCTGCAGTGCTGCCTAATTTATCTATTTATTTTTTTATTTATTTATGGGTTTGTTTGTTTTTTTTTAAAGCTGTTTTTGACGCAAGACAATCCCTCGCTAAGTGGAAATCCAATTCTAATCCAGTTTTCTATAATCAGACAGCACACTGAGTAGTATTAACATAAATACCATGAAAATGCTCTTTGGATTTTTAAAAAGTTTTCACATTTTAGTTTTTACAGAATGTATTCCACCAGGGCTAAACCACAGGATTCCCCAGATGTGTAAGGTCTTTGCATAGTAGAATAGGGTACGGGTGCACCGATTTATCGGCCTGCTGATTTATTAGCGCTGCTGATAATTTTGGATCAGTGATCAACTGATACTTGTAATTGAAGCTGATCTTGTCCACCAAACTTACCTAACTCTGCAAAGGTCTAAAAATCAGCCTCTGTCCTCTTTTGCTCTCCTGTGAGAGAGGTTTGACTGATGGAGCTGTCCACCAAGGCATGTCTTCATATTTGCAATTAGCAATGGTCACCACACCATTACCAACTCAGTGACTTTCTTGCTATGTGCAGTAATATTTTAGAAAAAAAATTGGTATCGGCTAAAATGGGAATTGGCTGATCAGACTTTTTAAAGATTGGTAATTGGCCCGAAAACTGCAGTAGTGCACCCCAAAACAAAGGTAAAACCAGTAGTAGGTTGGTTAGGGCATTAAGTTTAACCTACACTTCTCACCTTGCTCCTCACCTGTCTGACCTCCTGACCTCGTTCAAGCATAGGGCTCCAAGGAAAACCACAGGAAACTGAAAACCCATAACCCTTCTAAACGCCAACGTGGACGCTGACCAACATAATACTGACCTATTATGCTTGTGCAATACATTACATAAAGAGCAGTACTAAGCTTAAGCCCATCATAGCCCTTGGTAGATTAAAAAAAAAATTCCAGTGTAGTCTACATCTACCTTATTTCTTCTCATCTTTCTCTTTGTGTTTTACTTTTGAGAAATAGTTGTATAAACCTAAACATTATGTTCTGTTATTATAGGTGGTCTACTAAATTATGTACACAGAACTCTAACTGAACTTGATTCGTTATTTTCTTCCAAAACTAGACAATAAAGTTAAATTTTGACAAAATAATTTAAAAAAATAATTGAAGTTTGTTTTTTTTTTCAAATTCAGCCTGGGTTGTCTCATGAAAGTGCCTTCAATCACTTTTGCAACACAGAACTTAATCAAAATACATCAACATCAATTGACATGTTTTGTACTGTAAAATGTATGTTTTCCCAAATCCTTAAGAGATTATATGAGAGCAGGGTAAATATTATCTAGAAGCATGATTGTGCTTTGCACCTGCTCTGCTTCAGTTGTTGTGGCAAATGGGTCATGAAAGGTAGAGAAATCCTCATGTCTAGGTCTATACTCCTTCTCGTCAGTCTACTCCTAGACAGTCTCTATAAGTACAGCGGAGCTGCAGAGCTTCACTCGGCACTCAAGCAGACAAATGCTTTTGTATGACATTGATGATCTCCAGATGTAGTGTGCTATATTCAGTGCATGGCACAAGGTTTATTCTTCAAATAAACTGGTTGCAACAGCAGAAATGACAGCAGTGACGAGCAAAATACAGACAGGTGAGACATCGCCACGAGTGACATGATTGTCAGCCGTGTTTGGCAGAACTCTGCACCCGGATACATGTGGATTAACAATGACTGAATGGATTAGTGGGTGTGTGTCTGCATATTTGTGTGTGTGTGTGTTAAAAATTGTTTGAGTCATGCAGATATGGAATGATAAAGCACAGTGACAAAGAAGGCATATTTTCTAAAAAATGAACTAATGCTTTCAGATGATCATAATTTGGCTTTAATACAAAAGACAAAAGAAATTGACACAAGCTGCCACTCTTACACACAATATGGCTACTAACTCTAAAATGGTATCATATTTGCACTTAAAGCCCTGCTTCTAGAAGTCATACCCTGTTTTTTTTCTCACTTCTCAGGTTAATTGATTTTCTACTTCTGCTTCTCCCGACTCTTATTCGTTTACTGCCCTCTGGTCTTCGAAGGGACATTTCCTTTCGGAATCTCTGAAATAATATGAACAGTGCTTGTCGGAGAGGGAAATTAATCACATGGGTGCTCACAACTCTGTAGGGCTTTGGGTTCAGCTTTCTAATTAGCAGTCTCCCTCTTGACACTTTTATTAGGTCATCGGTTTAGTGTTAGAAAATTTAGCATGAAGCGCTGTGCAAAGCGATTCATACTGCTGTACAATTTCTATATATTGTCACACCTTCCTGTATAACAGCAACTCTAAACACACAACCAGAGCTACAATGGGGTTGACTTATAGCAAAGCATATCCATACATTCATACATACAACATGTCAAAATGTAGACCTGGGAATCTTCAGCAAGTTATAAAATTATGTTCACTGGATCCTTCTGGGATTGAGCTTTTGCCAAGATTTGGCAAAAACCTAACCAGCCTATTGCCTCCTTTTACAGGTTTTCTCGATTCTCATCTCCCTTCAGTGCTCTGTTCAGGATCTCTCCCACTTATTTGTTTGGTTGATTATAAACTGGGCCAATCAACAGACAGGAGTTGTAAACGATTGTCATCAGTTTTCTCTGCAGTTTTCGATTTGTAGTCTTCTTTCATAGGGTTGTAGTTTGCCAGGAGCGTGTGGGTAAATTGAATAAAGCCATTCAGTTTAGGTAGGCCATGCTTCCAAATACTGTGCAATTAAAGTCAAAGCAAGAAGAATGTTTAAGTCATTGAATGGCTGGCAAAGATTTCATGACCCCAGTCCTCAAGGGGTTGCTTATAGCATGCACAATTCCCTTAGTTGTAATCGAGCTTAATCGAACTGCCGCATTACATATGTCACAACCAAACATTAGCAATTGAGTAAAATTTTAAACCTCAGAGTCCATGCCTCCAGAAAGTAATTAATTCTCAACAGTTGAGGGTCCAGACCATCTGTATGAAGCACAGTGTAGAACAAGAGACTTTTTTTTTCTTAACCAGGCCTCTTTAGATGTGCAAAGCTGGCAGAAACATTCCCCTAAACGACTCACAGGTGTGACTGTGAGCATACAAGTATCAGGACATTGCGATTCCAGATTTGTATTTGTGAAGCAAATAA